GGGTGGGGGGAGAGCAGCGGGTTGCAGGATCGAAAGAGCACATGGGGACGACACTTGCGTCAGGAGGGGCCCAGTTGCGCGTGACCAGGGGTCGCAGGCGCGGCCGGCATGGGCGCCACCCGCCCGGACCAGCAGGCCAGCGCTGGGCGGACTGGGCAGGGGATCCGTGGCGGGCTTGCCGGTTGCCAAGAGCCGGGCGCGCCACGTCGGAACTATGTGATGGGGACCAAAAAGTGGCGGATGGTGACTCACCAATGGCTGCGTCGATCATGTCCTCGTAGTCATCACCGCCCTCCTCCTGGGGGGTGGGTCAAGATCGTATCGCGAGAAGATGTGAGGTTTGCGACAGAGCGCGTCGATGCAAAAGCACCCGCTCCTTCACAATCCAGCGCAACTGCCTACACCCTCCCTGTGTCAAGCAGCCAAACGCACCCCCAACTGCTCGCCACACCGGCCTGCGCCTCACACGCCCAGCCCAAGCGGGGGCAAGCGCGCAACTCCCTACCGTCGGCTTTTTGCCGCGACCCCCCGAAACCCCCACCTGGAAGTTGTACTTGCTGGGCCCCGGCGTCTGCGCCTCGCTGAGCAGCGCCTGGATGTCCTCCACGCTCTGCACCCCGCTGTAGTCGTCGTCCGCCAGGTAGCTGTCGTTCATGGAAACCGCCTGGCGGTGGTTTTGAACGTTGGTTTTGAAATGGGTGACATGCTTGGGAGGAGAGCACCCTGGTCAAAGCTTGGGTTTGAAAGCCTGACGTTCGATTGAGCCACATGCTGTGTCTATCCCTCGCCACAGCCTGCACAAGCGACGACCGCGCACGCCACTTGCGCGGTGCAGAGGGCCCGCGGCGGCTCGCGGCGGCCTGCCGCTGGTCCAGTCTCACCTCTGTCGGCAGGTTGGCCGTGAACCAGGGGTGCCTGAAGATCTCCCCCATGGTGATGCGGTCGTCCGGGTCCCGCACCAGCATGCGGCCCAGCAGCTGCCGGCACTCGGCGCTGATCTCAACTCCGTCCGGGATCGTCCACTGGGGATGAGGAGAGGCGGCGGGGCAAGGGCAATCGGTAAGAAATTGGGTTGAGTGGCGGGGTTCGCAGGTGGATGGGCGGCTTGCTGGATACAGTTGTGATGCAATTGAGATAATGGGAGGTGCCACCGCTCAAGGGGGTGGTGGGTTTGGTATGTACAAGGGGTTGCAGAGCAGGAGGCCAAGGTGGGGCCACAGCCGGCCCCCACCACAGCCCCAGCCTGCTTCAAGTGGCTCAGGTCCCCGTGAAGGCGTGCAGAGGGCAGGCGCCTCCCCGCACACCCACCAACCCCGCCGCCCCCAATCTGCTGGCCCCTGCAGACTGACCTGCATGGCGACAATGCGGTCCATCATGCTCCTGATGCGGCGGTCCGCCTCCATCTTGGGGCCGCCGGGAACCTGCATTCAGTTACCGCACCAATGACATGGCATCGATGTGCTCATGAATGCTGTATGGGGCAACGGCATGCACTTGTCACAGGACACGAGACCGTCGGCCGCGGGCAGGGCTGCCAAGGCGGCCTGTTGCGCCATCTGGCTCTCGCCGGCCCAAAGCATACGCAGCACCCCTTGCGCCCAAAAGTGCCCCGATAGCCCACCCGTTGCCAGACCCTGCTCACGCCGCGCCCCCCCCACCTGCGTCTCAAAAGGGTACTGCCCAAAGAGCATCACGTACAGCATCACGCCGCACGACCAGATGTCAGCCAGCTTGCCGTCGTAGTTGCCTGGTAGAGCGGCGGGTTGAGGCAGCGCACCATGCGGCTTGAGCCAAGAGCACAGTCAACAAGATGGGCACGCCGCGGAGACATGCTCGCTCACCTGGTTGATCAAGCCCAGGCAAGTGGGGCACGATGATGCGCCTGCACGCGCAGCCGAGGCGCCAGGCGCTGCCCGGGTCAATCCCAGGTCAACAATACGCCCGGTCAAACACACGCTCGCACTCACCCGTGGCCTTGATGATCTCTGGCGCCATGTAGGCCAGGGTCCCGACCTTGGACTTGGGTGCGCTCATGGCCTGGGCCTGAGGGAAAAGAGTGGAAGCGGGAGGGGGAGGCGGAAGGTGAGGGGGCAGTGGGGAGGGGGGCATGTCAGCAGTGACGGGCTCTGTGGCAAGCGCTTTACAGGGGAGAATGCGCCCTGGGTAGGCAGCAAATCAGAGAGACAGTTGAAACTGCAGCTCCTACCTTGGAGTAACCGAAGTCGCAGACCTTGAGCAGCGGCAGGGGCAGGCCCGCCACCATCTAGATTTGGGGAGATGCAGGGGCAAGGCCGTTGCTGATTTGTGCTGAGGGTAGGAGCCGACAGGGTGCGCTCATCCGCAATGCACAGTGGCATCCCAATATGGGTTGTTGGGAAGCCGTTCAAGAGATCTCGCCGTAAAAAAACGCCACTACCCTCCCCCCCTCTCACCCCCCTCCATGCACACACACGCACAGGCGCGCGCGTGCATGCACGTGTGCATGCACACCTGCAGCAGGGTGTTCTCGAGCTTGATGTCGCGGTTGACCACCCCCTTGCGGTGGCAGTAGTCCAGCCTGCACGGCAGCGGCATGCGCAGACAGCGTGCGACGTTGAGAGGCGACGCCCGCAGGATTGGGGCAACAGGCAATTTGGCCTGCATGCACGCCTGCTCGGCCAAGCATTGACCACTCCGACGCAAGCACGCACATAATTCGGGCGCTCGAGGGCCGGCCGCTGTCGCGGGCTCGCATTGTGGGCGCACCCTATGATGAGCTGCTGGAAGAACCAGCGCGCCGCCGCCTCCTTGAGCCGCACCGCCCGCTGCACGTACGTGAAGAGGGACCCCCCGCTGGCAAACTCCATGGCGATGCAGATGTACTCGCTCGTCACAAACACCTGCCGGGGTTGTGCGGAGGAGCAAAACACAGGCGCAAAGTCAGAGGGGAGGGCGCATAAAGGAGGTTCTTTGAGACACTGCTGCACAGGGTGCTGACGCCTCGGCCGAGCTAGAGTCGCGGCGCGCCACGACCCCTGCACCAAGCTAGCCGTGGCGCTTGAGAAGACGCGTGGTCACTGGCCGCGCAGCCGCCGCTCGGCCCCAACCGCTCCACTGCTCTGGTCATCCCGGACGCCAGGGCGGCGCGGACGCACTCGGTCGAGACAGGAGGCCCGACACCGCATGCCAAGGCCTGAGCGGCGCGGGAGCATTATTCGCAGGTCTTCATGATACCCTGCCACCCTCTCGGCGCACCTCCTTGAACTCAATGACGTGGGGGTGCCTCAGAGAGCGGTGGTTGAGGATCTCCGCCTCCACATACCGGTTGACCCTGCAGACGGGCGGGGGAGGCGGCACGGTGTGGGGTTACGCCCTTGTGATCGGATCAGATCAGGCCATGGGGGGCCAGGACGTTGAGGGGCGCCAAGCGGGCGTGCCGGGCTGGGCGCAAGAGCATGCCCCGCGGCCGGCTGCGCTCAGGCCGCGCGGCGGAGCGCTTCCTACACCCCATGCAGGGCGCCGCCGCCGACGCAGTTCGGGTGGCGTGCAGCCTTGCCGCGTTCCTCAACAGGCCATGCCGCCGGGCGCAGCCTAGCCGGGCAGCTGCTGTTTGCCTCGGCCGTCCAACTCCCTCAAGTTGCACGCACCCCCTCGATTCAGCCCCATTCCGCCCATCCGATCCCATCCTGTCCTGTCCCAACCACCGCCTAGCGACACGCACCAAGCCTGCCTTCCCACCGGTCGCGGCCCCGCCTCCCCGTGCGCTGGCCCCCCCACCCACCTGTCGCCCCTCTCGATGAACTTGATGGCCACCAGCTCATTGGTCTCTGTGTTGCGCGCCAGCTGCACAAACCCGAACGACCCGCTCGACAGGTCTGCAATCTTGTCATACCTCGACGACTCCCGCAGGGGGTCCGGCCGCTCCGTCGGCGGCGCGACGCCCGTCATCGCGTGCTGCGCTGGCCCCGCGCAGTCCGACGCGCCCGCCCGCTCGTCCGGCGCCGTGCTACGCGCTCGCCGCGCGTCGGTGCTGCTGGCAGCCTCGTAGGGCGGCGGCGGGTCCCTCGACCTCGACGCAGAGGCGACCTGCGAGGCATGGGGAAATGTAGTCGCATGCCCTGGGTACGAGGCGCACCAAAGCGTGCATGCGCGCACGTGCGGGCTGGCGCCACATCGCGCATGCGCGCGCGTGCGCGCATGCGCCGCTCCAAGAATCGGCTCGCACCCACGCCGCAACTGCACGTAGCTACTTCGCAGCCCTGATGCTGCGCCGCTCTCTTGAAGCAACTCTTAAGGCTCTACTAGCCTTTTACATGCGACGTTGCTGCGCTGCAGCAGCGCGGAGCTGCTCCTGCCTGCCCGCGGCCCGCGACAGCAAGCGAACCAATTCAAATGACCGCGCACCACGCCTGATTGTATTCAAAACTTAGCACAATTATGAAGTCAGATATAGGGTCCCCAGCTCCTCAGCAGCGCGCTCTGCTTCAATGGCCGCGCGAAATGCACAGAGGGCCCTCAGAGGCTGTATGTGTTCCTAATTATTAGTAGATACGTCTTGTAATACTTTGTGAAGATTAAGTCGCGGCTGTTTGAGGCACGCATTGGACAAGCAGCGCCGTGGCAGCAGAGCAGCCTCGTACGCCTTGCTTCGTCATCAGCATGCGGCCGCTCTAGGTCCCACCCGTGCGCACAACGCCAGCCATCTCTGCATACCCAATAACCTATGATCCCATGCAGCTTTTCAAAGTTCCATTGTACTCCGTGTCTTTGGTTGGCCTTTGACCTCCGGCGTCTGTCAGACGCACAGTCTGACCTGCACCCGCCGGGGTTCGCCTCGACACGCCGCTCCTCTCCCTCACGATAGCACCGACCAAGCAGCAGATTTACTGCGACAAGCCGCCCGCGACGGCGACTGCGAAGCCCGGGCGTAAGGACGTAAGCATGCAGCGACGCTGGGCCGCAAGCAACAGGTTGCCAGGTAAAGACGAGAGGCAGCCGCCACGGCTGGCGGCGGCGGCGGACGTAGTAGTCATGTCCAGCGACACTGGAATCCGAAACAACAACATCAACACGAGCAATCAAGTTGCGGCCGCACCCACCCCCACACGGCGGCGCTTTGCAGGCGTGCCTCCGCCCGCTTCCTTGCCACGACCCCGCCAGCAGGGGCGGCTGGCGGATCGCTATGCAGGATTCTAGATATGCATGCAAGTATCAGAAAGGCAAGGGATCTCGAAAAATAATGCACCGGGCCCTGCACCTCGGCCTGGCGGCGCGCGGTGGCGCGCGCATGATTGCAGGGTGTTTTGTGTATGAAATGGGAGTCCGTGTTGGGTATGGGGCTAATTGCAGTGCACCAAAAGCCTTGCCTACAACGGCGCGACAAGGGGCAGATCAAATGCTCCTGCACGGTATGCCAATGCTTGGGGAGAGGCCGCTGAGCGGGCTGCGTCGCGCTGCAAACGCACGCGCCAGCGCCCAAGCGCCAGCCCCAAGCGGCCGAGCAAAGTCCACAAGATCCCAGTAAGGGGTCACGAGTCTTGAGGCAAAACAGCTGCACACCACGCACGCAGCGCACAACGGGGGAAGAGCCGCGTGCGCGGCCCGGCACGTGTAGCACGCGCGCCTGGGCCCGGCAGGCGCAGCAAGAGGCCGGCGGCCCACGCAGCCCGCCCACTGGGCCCAGGCCAGGGGCATTGGAAACGTGACGCGTCAGTTGTTTGCTGGCGCGCGCCGCCCAGCTGAAAAAGCGAGGGGTGCTCGCCCCGCACCACGGGTCAGCCGACGGCCTCCTCCGGGCTGTCCGCGTCGCCGCGGCCCGCGTTCAGCACGCACAGCGCCACCAGCCGGTCTCGCAGCTCTGCTAGTACCCCAGGCAGCAGCGCGCCGAGCCGCGCCGCCGCGGCCGCCGCCAGCCGCGGGTCCAGGCACCCCACAGGGGCCGCCGACGCCGCGCGCAAGAACTCGCGCGCGATGAGCCGCCGCAGGCGCCCGGACGACGCCGGGTGGCGCACGCAGAGCGCAAGCGACGCGCCGAGCAGCTCGGCGAACGCGCCGGCGCGGCCGGTGGCGGCGGCGTCCCCTGCCGCGGCGGCCGCGAGGGCGGCAGCTAGGTCGTCCTCACAGGCACACTGCAGGCCGTCCACCTGAAAAAAGTCGGCGGCCACCCACAGCTGCGCCGCCTGGCGCGGCCCCAAGCGCGTGCCCGCCGCCCGCTGCTGCGCCCCCTGCTGTTTCGTCGCCTGCTGCTGCACCACCCCTTGCTGCCGCTGCTGCCGGCCGCCGGCGCGGCCGCCGCTGCCCTCTGTCCACCGCTCCAGCTGCGTGAGGCACCACCAGTTTGCCTCATCTGTAAAACCCGGGACCGCGAACGCGCGTATTGGCCCCCCGTCATACCCGCCGCCGCCGCCGTCTTGCAGGCGCAGTATCGAGTGCAGCAGCTTGGAAGCGCGCCTGAGGCGTCGGTACGCGCCGCGGCGCATCCGGTGCTCGTGCGGGCCGAGCGCGAAGGCGACTGGCCCCGAGCCGCTGCGGCGCGGCGCGGACGAGAGGCCTGACGACGCGCCGGCGCCGTCACAACCAGACGGCAGGCCGTCGTCGTTGCTACAGCCAAAGCCGAGTTCGCTGCCATCCCAGCAACAGCAGCAATTGCTGCTGCTGCTACTGCTGCCGCTGCTGCCGTTGCTGCTCTCGCTGTCGGCGATGCTCTCGCCGCGCACGAGCTTCACTTGCTGTAGCTCGGAATCGACGCTGAGTAAGTGACCCGCCAACGCGAGCAGTGCGCTGGACGCGTCCCCTTCTAGCTGCTGCTGCTGCTGCTGCTGCTGCTGCTGCTGCTGTTGCTGCACATGCTTGCTGCCGCCCTCCGCCACGGCAGCCCACTCTTCACCCGCCGCCCACACCAGCTCCTGCAGTCTCTGCGGCCGCAGCAGCAGCCGCGCGGCGAGCACGTCCGTGTACACGTCGTCGCTGCCCCGCTCCAGCAGCGCCGACGCGCCCGACGCGTGCTGCCGCTGCCGCCCCTGCTGCCGCTCCTGCTCCACCTGCTCCCGCTGCTGCTGCAAGCCCCGCAGCTCTGCCGCGGATGGCGCGGCGGCGGGGAGCTTCAAATGCACAGGCAGCGCGATGGCCTGCGCCAGCGCCAGCGCCGCGTCGAGCGCCCACTCCGCCTCAACCGCAGCGAGCACCGCCTGGCCGCCGCTGCTGACGAGGCGCGCCGTTAGCAGCTGGGCCACGCGCCGCGGCGCCGCGCGCAGCAGCGCGCCGACGAGCCGCTGCTCGACCAGGGCCCGTAGCAGCGCGTCGGGCCGCGCCGCCAGCGCCACGGGCAGGGCCGCCTGAAGCAGCGCGGCCGCGAGGGCGGCGCCGGGCGCGCGTGGGGGCGGCGCCCCGGGCGGCGTCTGCTGTGTGTCTGGGGCCGGCCGGCGCGCCTGCTGCGCCTCCTGCTGTCCGCGGAGCTGGCCGATAAGGAACACAAAGCCGCGGAGGGCAGAAGGCTCCAGGAGCGCGTCAAGCGCGTCGGCCACGAGGCCCGTCAGCTGATGCCGCTCGCCGCCGCCACCAGCGGCGCACGCCGCGATAGCGCCGGCGCCGGCGCCGCCGCCGCGTGCGACCGTGGGGGCCAGCGCGATTGCCGCGAGCGCGCCCGCGGCCAGCGCGGCCGCGGCCGGGCCCGCGTCGTGGCCGGGGTAGCCCTCGCAGGCGACGGCGCGAGAGAGCGCGGGGAACGCGCCTGCACGGCGCAGCGCGGCGGCGGCGCGTGCGGCGGCTGCGGCGCGCACGCTGCCTGCAGCTGCGGGGTCCGCGCCTGCTTCGACAAGCAGCAGTGTCGAGAGGGCCGCATTGCGCAACACCGCACCCACTGCGTCAGGCGCGGCCGTGGCGGCGCCGGGCGCGCAGTCCGCAACCCCAAGCAGCCGCACCAGCGCGCCCGCGGCCGCCGGCGTGCACAGCGCCTCCCGTGCGGGGGGCGGGCCGTGCGCCAGCTGCAGCACGACCCAGCTCCCCTGCAGCAGCAGCGGCAGCGCCTCGGGCGCGCCGCGGGATGCGGACTGCACTTGGCTCGCCCAGTCCACAGCCGCAGCCACGTCAGCAACGCCGCCGGCGCTTAGCAACCAGTCCACGGCCTGCGGAGAGTCCAGCATCGCCTCTGCGAGCGCGCGAAGCGCGTGCGCTGCGTCGCGCGCGCCGACAGCCTCCGCCCCTCCCGCGCCCGCGCCCGCGCCCGGCGCCGCCGACGGCGCCCCCGCTGGCGCGAGCGCGGCTCGCAGCCGCAGCAAGGCATCGCTGACAGCCACGCACGCGCGCGCCGCAGAGGCGGCCTGCTCCGCCTGCGCGCGCCGCTTCTGCACGCCGACATCATCCTCCCAATCCTCCTCCTCTGCCGCCGCCGCCGCCGCCGCAGCCGCCGGCCCTGCCGCGTCAGCCTCCGGGCCTCCAGCTGCCGGCCCCCCTTTCAGCGGGCCCGCCTCCGCCGCCGCTGCGCCGCTGGGCGCAGCCACTCTAACCCCCGAGGCCGCGCGGCGCGCGCCAACCGTGCTGCGGGGTCGCGGGCGGGTGCAGGCGCGGGTCAGTGCCGGGGGGCAGAGCGTGCGAAGGCAAGTTGCGTGCGCCGCCCTCTCCCGCATCACAAGCGCCGGTGCGCCCGGGCCCAGACGCCTGAGCCCCTGCCCCAACCTCTTGTGTCAATGCTCACCTTGCCCACCACTGCACCCATCGTCCCAACGCAGCCGCCAGCCACAGCACCACCCAGCACTCCGCCAGGCTGCGCATGCCGTGGCGCTCAAACAGGCCCAGCCGCTGCGCCAGCAGCGGCCAGCAGGCCGCCACGACGCCGCCGGCCGCGAGGACAGCAGCCTGAGGGGAGTGAAGCAGAGGGTCAGATGAAGAGGGGCCGTTTGTCGCAAGTGCGCAGCGGGCGGTGGGCCGCGAGGGGGGGGGGGCGGTAGAACCCAGCTGATCGGACAATCTGGCAGCGCTGGGATGCAAGCGAGGACCCCGCAAGCCGGGCGCAGGCGCTCAGCCCCAGTGATGACGGGTCCGGGTCCAGCACACCTGCTGCGGGGAGAGTCGCGCCATGGCTTGCGCGTCGAGCAGCAACTGCAGCGCCTCACAGGCGCTCGGGGCCGCAAGGGCCCCCCCACGCCACCCGGAGTTGCCGGCCCAAGCCAGCAGCGCAGGCGGCGTCTTCAGTGGTGGTCCGTAGAACGGATCGTATGGCAGGGCACGATGCATCACTGCGGCGCTCCTGCCTGCGTTCGGAACCATGGTGCAGCACCCAGCCTTGACGGGGAGCGGCAGCGCGTACGTCGTTTTCAGCCTTCATGACAGCGCGCATGCAGGCAGCGGCGACCACACGCAGCCCTCACATATTGATCGAAATACTACCAGGACCCTTGTAACACCCACCTGCGCCATGCTCGCGCTTTTTCGCCCACACACCGACACGAGCCAGCTCTCGGCGCGGGTCGCACACGTACGGCGTTAAGTACGGTATCTTAAGCCTCGGGTACTGATCGCGCTGCTTCTACGCCGCTCTTAAGGGCACACCCGCGCCCCGGGGATGGAAATCAGCCTTGGCTGGAGTAGAGGCAAAACGAGCAACCTAATTCGATGATATTTTGTGGTGAATCACTTGTTAAGACCGCGACGAGCTGTGGAAGTGGGTGGGGAAGTAATCAAAGCTCCTTGTGCGCTGATGTAACTATGTGCACAAACGTAAGAAATTTCTAGGCGTGTCATGTGCACTTCTGTTCTATTCGGTGATCAATGATGTCTGCATCAATTTCTGCTGGCCGCGGCCAAAGTGTCCGAAGCTAGCGAAGTGAGCGAGAAGCTCCTGTGATGGGCGGCAGCACATCCCCACAAGCTGTGGAAGGGAGAACACCGCGCTGCTGTGGGGGTGGTCGGTTCAGACTGAGTCATGCTGTGTGCCCGACCACATGGGAGTGCCTCATACAACGGATGGACTGCACTGCCTCCCTGCCCAGCATCATGCATGCTTCCCCTCATCATGACCCAGCTGACCGGCTTGCTGCTCATCTGTTGCAGCCAACGGAGCAACCCCTGGCACATGTTTGGCGCTGGCCTGTCCGCAGGTGTGGTCCTGCGATGCGGAGTGTCATGCGACCCCGTGTGCCATCGCCAGTTGCATTCGATTAATGAGCCGCACCACCACCAAAAATGCCAGCCTCAGCGTCCCGCAACAACAGATTTACGGCCACAACAAGAGCGGCCCAAGTCGGCCTGTGCACGTGTGCAAAAGGGCGTGAGCCCTGTGCGACGACCTCGCATGCGGCCTGCAAGCCCCTCCTGGTTCAAGAATGCGTTGGCGGTTCAACGGTAAGCCAGTCCCTGACACAACGCGTGCCAGTGTCCTGAATCGCGAGAAAATGGGCAGAGGTGTGGGCGGGCCGCAGCGCCGTCCGCGTTCACAGGACGAAACGCGCTGACCACCAGGAGCGAGAACTTCACACCCGCCCCGCGCGGACCGCAAATGCGGGGAGCACCCCCGAACGTCAATGTTTGCAATTCATTTTTCGGCAACCTTCCTCATTCTTGCATGTTCCAAAAGGCACAAGTGGGCGCGGCGGGCAACCAAGTGCCGCATCGGATCACCTCGGCAAACCCCAGTATGCCAGCAAAGACGGCCCACAGAAAGACACCAAAGCGCCCGCCGTGGGCCGAGAGTGGGGTGATTGTTTGGTTTCCCACGCCCGGCGGTTGTTGCAGTCTTTCTTTCATAGCTGTGGGGGTGGGCTGGGATGCGGTGCCACGTAGCCAAGGGAGGGCACACGTCAAACCACAGCTCACCCGCAGGCGCGATGGCTTGCGGCACGAGCACATTGAGTGATTGAGCAAGTCGATCCGTGTGTTGAGCGTGTGACGCGGGGTCAGCACGACTACCTCTGCAGCTTTGAGAGCCGCGGGGTTCGGGAGTGCACTATCACTGCCAAAGCCCACGGCAACGGGCAGCCTCACTCGCGCGGCGCAAGGGGCGCCGTGCTGAGTGGGCCGGCAGACGCGTTAAAAGGGACCGCGGTTGACAGGGAGCCGCGGCATTCAAACAGTCAGGGGCCGGCGAGCCCGGCCAGCTGGCGCGGGCTTTTAAGCATTGAGAGAAGCGCGTCCGGCGAGCAGTGAAACAAGGGAGATTTGTGTGCGGGATGCTTGATGCCACCGGGTAGTGTGGGTGCAATGGGACGGGCCAACAAGATGAGATTGCCAACCCTAAAAACCACCTCTGTGGCGAGATCCGGCGGCGCCGGCGGCGCGACTTGGTAGGTGCCAACCCGAAAGGGAGGGAGCGCAGCAGTTGGGGAAGCACTGGCGGACGCAGCGCGCCCATCGCAAAAGCAGGGCTGCGGACAGAGAGAGGCGCGCCGCACGCCTCGTGGCGCGCGACGCGCGGCGCCGCCGAGCTTTCGCTGCACGCTCGTCCTGCCGGTCCCCCGCTTTGGTGGCGCGAGAGAGCCGAGGTTCATCCTTAGAAACGGGCGCCTGTACGTGCTGCCACGGGCGCACGAGGACGGCAGAAGGCACGGCGTGACGTCATCAGCCGTCAGCGAGGCGAAGCAGGTATCTGCGGAGGGCCTCGCCCCACAGCTCAACATAAACGCTGCACGCGGTTGGGGGTTGAGATAAGGGTAAGGGGCAGGTGAGCAGGTTGCGCGAAGATTGGTGGGAGGGAGCTGGGTGGCCGAGGGGGCATGCAAGCCAGGCAATCAGATCGCCCTTGGGCGTGCAGCGAGCGGACAGCTCGGGTTCGGGATGGGTTCGGGGTCCCTTGGCTGCGGGCGGGCTGCCGAAGCAGGGACGCCCGCCCCAGGCGTCTCGCGCGGGCCCCTCCCCTCCCACGCGTGCGGCGCCCAGCGCCGCGGCGCACCTGGGCACAAACGGGTAGCTGCCGACAAAGAGGCTCGCCTGAATGGGTGCACGCCGCACGCGGGCGCGAGCAAAAACGCGGGGGCGGGGCGGGGGCGTGCGGTAAGAGGGTTGCACAGTCAATGTGCGCAAGCGGAAAGCAGGGCCGCGGGCACGTGAGGAGACGCCAAATGCGGAGCGAACAGCGTTGTCCCCTGTGGGGCGCGGAGAAGAGGTGGGCCACCCGCGGTCTGTTTTGCCGGCAGCCCCAGTGGAGGCTCGCATCATTAGCATCATTTTGCCCGAGATGTGGAAGCTGGCGAGGCAGCAGCTGTCGGCACCGGCTGGCACGCACCCATTGGAGGGGGTTGAGGGAGTAGACGGCGTAGAGGTTGTGGACGAGGTTGACGCTCTCAAAGCGCCGCAGCAGCGCGTCCAGCCGGGACTGGCGGTTGGCGGTTGTGAGGTCGGCGCGGCGGGCGGCGGCGGTTTTTGCGGCGGCGGTCGGAGGCTTGGCGCGGCGGGCGGCGGGGCGAGGAGGCCGGCCGAGAGGCTGCGACCTGCGCGGGCGGGCTCTGGATGCGGGCCCTGCCGTCTCCTGGGCGGCGAGGGACGTTGGGGACCGCGCGAGCGTCCGCGCCGCAGCGCCAGGGAGGCGGGGCGCGGGGCGGGGCCACGGGAGCGCGCGGCGC